AAACAGGCATTCCCCAAATTGACACTCTTCCTAGCTCAAAGATTCTCACCATGGTGTGGGACGGGTTTGAAGAAGTTACATCTGGGCAGCTGCTATCTTAGACTCTGTCCCTGGCAACTCCTCGGCTGGTGTTTCTCTCTTAAATAAAATTTCTAACTTCTAAAAAAAAAGAAGAAAAGAAATCTGACACTTTGTTGGTAGCTTACTCGGACGATTGTGAAAAGAATGGCTTTTCGGTCAGCAGGAGTGGAATACAAACCAGTTCGATGCTGCAGAAAGCCCTGGTGAGGGGTGACTGCCAGGACTGGGGTGGCAGCAGGGGCGAAAGGAGAGGAGAGGAGATGGAACCAATGGAGATTGCTGATGGATTAGATGTGAGGGGGAGGGAAAGGAGCGAATGCAAAGAATGCCCAGGTTGCTGGCCCAGGAAACTTGACAGATGTTGGTCTGTGCTGAGCCATGAACGATGGGGGAGGGGCAGAAAAGTCATGGATGGGGAAATCAGAAACTTGGTTTGAAAATGTTACATTAGATGGGACTCCTAGACATTCCGGTGGAGGAAGCCATGTTCTCTTAGCTATCTCAGCCACGCTTGACTTTAGCTCTCCCTTCTTTATGTAGGAAAAAATGGGTTTAAGCACCTGCTTACCCATTGATTTATGAAACTCTGCACTTTTAACGGTTTGAAAATCAAGCCTCTGCTCTACCCTCTGTGTTCCTCCACGTATTGATAGGAGTAGCCTTCTCTTCACCGAGACTGCTGGAAATTGAAGAGTTTTCGATGACCCTCTTCCATCTCCCTGCCTGACCAATATCCTCTGTCCCCACTGCCCCTACCCTGCTTTAAATCATCATCAGTCTCAATCCCTCTAGTTTTTCACAACGCAGAGTACTAACTACTATATGATCACGGCTTTTTTTTTTTAATAATACAAGACACTTATTTTATAAATCATCTCTCAACATTTCAACTCTTGATAGAAATCAAATGTTACACATCTGCATTTTAAAGTAGCATGTATGCAACTATCTCAGTCACAGCAACCTCATACAATCACATTCACACCCAGGAGGAGCTCGCTCAGAGCACGTCCTACTCCCACCCACGAGCACAGCGTTTCCTCTTTACTTTCAATCTCTTGCCCCACTCCTGCTCTGCACCCCAAAAGGAAAATCCGGGGCTCAGTCATTCACAGGAGGAGTCGAGGGGGCGTTCGGCTTTGGAAGCACTTAGGCTCAGCTGAGAATCTCCGGAGACATCTGTCTGATGGGCGCATGCCAACTCCTGCCCACCTTTAGTGCAAAAAGATCGCAGATGTTGCAGAGTCCCGGAAACAGGCGAAGAGAAGAGGACTGAGATGGGAATGCCAAGTGAGTTTCCTTCTGAGATGAGACTCAAGAAGTCTGGAGTGCAAGCTTCTCACTCAGCAAGTGGCAAAGACTAGACTGTCGATCCACAAGTGAGGTTCCTGACTCATCGCGAGGTTATCAGAATCTGCAGGTGCACAGGCCTCTCGGGCCGCACTCACCCCCAAAGTGCACACTGGAGGTAGGTATATAGAGATTTATTGTAGGGAAGACAGTGGCTCGTCACCAGCTTAGAGACATCATCTCTGCTCCTCCTCTGCCCCCACTCTACCCGCGGGCTGGGGTGAGTGGGGGACACAGCAGGGAAGGGCAGGAGACGCACCCCTGGAAGACTCAAGAACCTAGGGTGTCACATCCCGCACGACATGAGCAGTGGGAGAATGAGAGGGGACAGCGAAGGGTTAATAAATAAAAGAAACAGCAGCCAAGAGTTAAATGAATGTGGGGCCAGGGGTCTCCAGCCTCGAGGACTAAGAGCCCGAATCGGTGGCTTTTATTTCCCCACCCACCCAGAAGTAGCATTGTTCTCTCCACAGTCTGTGAGTCTCATTCCTGAGAACTTGCTCAAGCCAGATACCCATGATGCCTGCAAGCTGCTATTACCAAGAGTCCGCCTGCAGCAATAAGACAGATGCTCTGCCTTCACACACCCTATATGCAAATGACCCCAGGAAGATAAGATGGTTGTGCTGAGGACAGATACTATCACACCATCAGGTCACTTCTCAAGCAGGCTGAGTGAAGGAATGTAGCTACAGAGGTAGAAAACCTCCAGTGTTTTTTTTGGGGGGGGGGCGAGTGAGGGCTCATGCCCACCTCTGTGAGCCTCGAGATTTCTCCTAATGGCCTCTACCCAACCGTGCCTGTCTTAGGTTGTTCCTCCCACGAGGAATCTTACCCGTCATTGACTAACCGGCCATCCTTTGGAGCCAAACAGAGATGCTAGGTGTATGAGCAGTGTCCTCAAAAGGGTCAGTTTAGGGTTAAGCGCAGGGGGACAGACGGCTGCACAGCTGCGTGGCAACACCAGGGCATTTTTATAAATAGCTACATAATGTTTTTAACCACTTTGAAACACACAGCAAGCTGAATATTTATTTAAAAATAAAACTCAAAAGTATCTATTTACAGTACAGTAAGGGGTGTGTGCAAACAACAGAAAGGTGGTCAGGCAGTCCTGCTGTGGGAGGTCCGCACTTCAATGCATGGGAGCAAAGCCCACAAACACCATGCGCTGAACCGAGCTGTGGGGGCAACAGGGACGACATTCTGCTAACACTGGATCAGGTTCACCTTTGAAACCTGAGGGGGAGGAGCAGGGGTGGGGAGTCCAGGAGGGGAGCCTCGTATTTGAGAAGGGGGCTGCCACCTCCTTCTGCAGGCCTCTGGCGTCCAGCTCAGAGAGGCCCTTGTCCTTAACTTGTGAGTGGATTTCCAGCATCTGCCCACACTCCACCTTGGCCAGAAAGAGTTCAAAGGAGACCATCGTCACCTGGAGGGTCTCCGCGAACTCTGACCTTGCATGCAGTCCCCAACTCCGGCACGTACCCCTGTCAATCAGGATGACTCAGATGTCCTCTTCCAGGAACGTGGACCGTGGACTTGACGTAATAAACGTAGGGCCCACGTAGGTCTTGACGCTTCTGAATTCCTTCCTCCATGGCTAGAGGAGGTCAATGCCTCCGGTTTCCAGCACGTGGAAGGCACCGTGCAAACCCGCAGGCTGCAGGAGCTCACAGAACTGGATCAGCCGGAATCGGTTGTGCAGGCCCGGCAAAGTCAGGCTGCCCCCGCAGGTACACATTGTCGCCAAGCCGCTGCTGTTTGGGGGTGGTGTCCACTTTGCCCTCATGGAACTCGCCATATTTTCGAAATAGGGCATCCTTATGTTTTGTATCCATTGAACCGGGTTCCCCCATCTGATGCAGGCACGAGGAGCTACCGTGTCTCTTCAATGGCTTCTGGGTTAGAGGCAGAGACAAGCGGAGGGAGGCGAGCAGCGGCAGCCACAACCAGGCCCGCTGACCTCTCGTCTTTCAATAGCTCATCTTCCCTACACAACACTGCTGGGGAAATCTTTTTTTTTTTTTTAATTTTAAGATTTCTGTTTAAATGTCTCCCCATTCCCTACAGGATGAAATCTGTTATCTTTAGCCTGACATTCAAAAGCCCTCATGATCCAGCCCCTTCATCTAAACTAGACTAGAAATATTCTTTTTGCTTTTGCTTATGCTGTTGACTCTAGTCCGCATGCCCTCCCCTGGCTCCCATGTTCACCAAGTAAAATCCCATCCATCTGCTGAGACCCTCTCCAATGCCACTGAATAAGAATCCCAGTTGCCACTGAGTAAGTCCCAGTTGTTAAGTACTTAATGATTATTTACTAAGTAATCTAAGCAGCCTGTGTTCATTATTTGACTCTGTATTGCATATAATTTTTTTCTGTATTTGTCTAATCTCTACAAGAATGCAAATTCCCTGAGAGCAGACATCAGATTGTAATTCATCTTGAGGACTCACTCCTCAGCTGTTCTGTACCCTTAGTTGATGTCGGATAAATGTTGGGTGAATGACTGAATGATTGCTCAGCTTTCAACTAGTTGCTATGGGAAGATATGAAAGAAGCACGAGAACTTATAGTCTAGTTAAAGAACACATCACAATTAAAAAAAACATTTGTGGAATACTAAGTATTGAGGGGATATGAAATGGAGAGTTGAACAAAGTTAGATTTAACACAGAGCCATCCTGGAGGAACCAGGTTTATATATTAAAGGGAACATTCAAATGCTTCAGTGTCAGGCAGACCTGGTTTTGAATTCCTGCTTTTCTGGTTTTTAAGGGTGTGACTTTGAACAGTGATTTTCTCTCCCTAAAGTGCATGGACATATTGCAACATCCCTCATAGGACTGTTGCAAGGATGAAATAATATATGCCAGTCCGTATCACAATGCTCAATGGAGTAAAAAGCAAGGTCGATTTTAAAGGAGATTGGCCAGCTGGCTTCAGTACATAAGGCCCCTTCGGAACCTGGGAATAGTGGTGGTCATTCCGAAACTGCTTCAGGGTGCTTGCTCTTTAATGTGGACCCTCACATGAAACCTAAAATCTTTTTCTAACAAAAGCAAAGGGAGGTAGGGAAGAGGATGTGCTTGCACATGAATTTTCAAGCAGTAATTGGACATCATTGCTTGATTGGACTCTACCAAGCAATTTCCAGAATAGCAGCCAGCCTCTTGGAAAAGTGCCACCGGCTTTGCCGGAGTAAATTATTAAGACTGTTAAGTCTTACACGAACATGGGTAGTTCCTGAAAAGCAATGCGCTAAAATTGCGGCACAGAGGCACAGAATTTAGTGTGTCAAGTTTTGAAACTTTGTAGCGTTAGTTGGTCCCCCACCAAGATTCCCGTCATGGAGCTGCATGGTGCTGTTAGTGGCTAAATTGTACCTGTTGTTAACTATTTCTGTGGGTGTATTTTCAGATTGAGACAATTCATACTGAGCTGAGGCTTTTTTTTTTTTTAACCTCTAAAACTCAAATTCGCGGCTATTTTAATTACGTAGACCCGGTTCTTCCGCTACTGAAAGCCCTCGAAACTACGACTCCCAGCATGCTCTGAAGCTGTCTGACCTCATCTCAAATGGCCCCGTAGGGCAACAAGGATGGTTAGTTTTGACCGTGCTTATTTGTGCCACAAAATATCCACCCTGACCGACAGTTATTTGGGCTTGTACACCCTGCCGACCTCCCGTTTTTGAACTGTGCTCACTAAATGAAGGGGTCCTGGACTGGGAAGGGCCATGTATTCCTTCAATTGGATGGGGAGCGGGGCCAGTGTCTCCGGCGATCTCGAGGAGGGAATGTTGACCAGGGAGCACCGTTGCGGCCGATCGCAGGAGCAGGAACCGGAGCCCGGGCTGAGACCGAAAAAAGCCGGATCCGGACGGTGGCTCCGGAACGGCTGGAAGTGGAAGATGGAGGAGCCGGAGGAACCTGCGGACAGTGGGCAGTCGCTGCCCCCGGTTTACATCTACAGCCCCGAATATGTCAGCATGTGCGACTCCCTGGCCAAAGTCCCCAAACGGGTAAGAGGTTGGGCCGAAAGGACCGCGGGCTTTGGGGTGGGGGTGGGGTCCGGTGGACCCGAGGGCTTTAGCAAGCTGGAGGCTGGGTTGGGGACACCTGCCGCAGAAATTTGGGCAGCTGTACCTGGTGATGGAGGAAGTGCTCCCTTCCAGTTTCCGACAGGCAGCGTTTATCCGCGCGGCGCCCCGCGGCCAGGTTGGGGCGGGGGAGGGGATGACACTGACGGAATGGTGTCTCTACTGCAAAGGGTCCCTAACCCAGAAGCTGCGGGAGAAAAGTGTCCCGCTGCGGCCGGCGGGCTGCTTAACACACGCCTGAGCGATTTAGATACTTTGTATTCACATTATATAAAGTGCACTGTAACTGTACAAGTTCCTCCCTTTGTTCAGGATGGTGAAGTCGACGGAATTTCTCTGAATCAAACGTTTAAGAGACTGTTTTCTCCTTTTTTTTCTTTTTTGCGGATGTTCTTAGGCCAGTATGGTACATTCTTTGATTGAAGCATATGCCCTGCTTAAGCAAATGAGGTAAGTGAGCACTCCTGAACCCAGGTGCTCCTACTCCTAATTTCCTGATTCACGGTGGGGCTATTTAGGGGGAGAATGGCACTTCTTTTAAAGCTTTTGGTGCTTCACAGCGTTGGTACTTTTTGCCTGGAACCCAGTGAAGGCTCTTGAAGAACTAAGAAAACTTAGAAAAAGTGCCCAGAGCACCTGAGATCCATTAGAAATAGGGATTGGTGATTTGTGGGGGTTTTGAGGGGGTACACTTGGGCCCTAAAACCTATCTGATAGAAGAAAAGGCTGTTCAGCTAGCAGGTGTTGTGCTTTCTGGTTTTTCCCTAAGCCACGTCTGAGGGTATGGGTTTAGCTTCAGACTTTTACGCACCCCATCACCACCACCAAACTTTGAGTGGGCCTGGAGACAAGACCAAAGCAAACTCCTGTGACCAGGCCAAAACTCAGCACACAGCTAAGTGCTTCTTTAAGAAACTGAACTAGCAGTTTGTTGTTAGGAGTAAATATTATAACCCTGCCACTTGCAGGATTATTTATTACATTTTCTGGCCAAAGAGGTGAGTTTATTTATGCCTGCTAGTGTGGTATGCTTCCGTTATCTCCCAGAAGGTAGTTTAATGGGCTGTCAAATTTTATCCTTATTACTAACAAAATCATTTACTGAATACCTTCTTTAGGAATGGTTGTCAACCATCTTTTACATCCGTATGTTTGATAAATATAAAAGTTACATGCTTTCCATGAAAGCTATTTAACATTTAAAAAATGACTTTAAGACCAACAAGAAATCAAAACAAAGCAAAACTGTCATATCACCAAGCAGGCTAGAAGGATCCTGAGGCTCAGCCTCCAAAATTAAATATAGCTGAGATATGAGCATTTGATTCTTGTTCCTTCTTCGAGAAAACATGTCTGATGTCCTCGGAGGTGACAAGCCCATCCATATGATTAAGTCCAAGTTCTGATTCAGTATGTCTCAGGTGAGGTGAACTTCTGCTCTTCTAACAAGCTCCCGGGTGATGCTGCTGCCAGTCTATAGCACCCCCTTTGAGAGTCCGGAGGAGAAATTGGGGTGGGGACAGCTAGAGGGTAGAGGTGCTAAGTCCTGTCCTAGTATCTGAGTCACTCCTGTTTGTCACTTCGTGTGACGAGCTGCTTGGGAGCTGAGACCATTCCCCTCCTCTCCTTCCTCTCAGAGGCAGATAACAGGGACCAAACATCGACAGTTTTATGTTTTCGGTTGCCTTTTGTATCCTTTAACATTAATAACAATGGCAGTTATCCACAAAGCATTTTCATATATCTTATCATTTAATCTTTACGTAAGCTCCATAAGCTTTCCCCACTTTACAGATGGGGAAAGCAAACTACAGAAGAGTCTTCTTACCTGAGCTTACAGAGCTGATGAGTACAGGCTTAGGACAGGAATGCGGTTCTCTGGCTCCACATTCAAAATTTGTAACAGTGCAGCTGCCTGTGAAAGGAAGAGAAGAGCTGAAAGGATCAGATGGCCTGGGCAGGAACTGATTCAATGGTTTGTCATGAAAGTTGTAACTCAGAGTTCACTTTGTCCAATACCTGGTGATTTAACTTAGATATAAATACTTTTTGGTAAGCCTGCCTGTCACCCCACGAATGGAGTCCTTTCGCAGACATGAAGGAGGGAAGACTTTGGCACCTGGAACCACAAGTTGTGTTTGCTGCCCAGATGACTGCCTCCTGCTTCTAGCTTCTGGCATAGTCTGGGCATGACTCACTCACCTCTTTGTTCTCTGTTATTATTAGAATAGTTAAGCCCAAGGTGGCCTCCATGGAGGAGATGGCCTCCTTCCATACCGATGCCTATCTGCAGCATCTCCAGAAGGTCAGCCAAGAAGGAGATGATGATCATCCGGACTCCATCGAATATGGGCTAGGTAAAGTCACTACCGGGCAATGGTGGCAGACGGACACCCTCCCTCTAGAGAGCGGAACTGCTTCATCTGACACAACATGCACGGCAGGCGTTAATGCTTTTAAACGAAGAACTAATGCCGTCACCACAATCTGAATCTCTCAGTTGAGCCACATACATCTGACTTAACAAGCAAACCATATGAGCTGAACAAAACTGAATGATGGAGCAGATGGAGGACAGTCTTTCCCTTGCTTAGGCCCTAATAGCAGTGTCCCGATGGGGTCTGGCTATATGTATGTTGACTTAACTGTCCCGTGACTTTACATTTTAACTTGAGCACAAACTTATGTTCTGGCTAAGTTTTGTAGTTTCTCACAAACAGCTGCATTTTAAAAATTGGAAGTGGCGATAGGATAATCTAGAGAAACAGCATGGTTTAATAGAAGAACATTGGGCTGGGGTGGGGGAGGGGGATCAAGAGACCTGGGTCCCAGGCCTGGCTCTGTGTGACTACAGATAAGACATCTCCTCTCAGACCTCAGTTTCTCCATCTATAGAAAGTGACGACTTAATCCTGAAGTTTAGCCTTTCTAGCTCTAACACTTTAAAACTTCTTTCCCCGGCATTGGAGATGTTTCTCTTGTTTGGTGCTGATGTTAGCGTAGTGACTCTTGGGCAGGTCACGCCTCAACCTATGCCTCCTCACAGCATTCTGGACCCAATTCCAATGTGTGGAGGAGGGTTCCCCCACAGCACCCAGCAGTGCTCGTGACACCAGCTGGAGCCCTACAATTCAGCTCATTTCTGACACTATCTCCCTGGAGGAGATGGCATCAGACTCCACAGATAAAGGGCTGACTCCCATAAGACGGTCCTCCACTTCAGATGCCAATCACAAGCCCACGTTCTCACCTGTGCTTCTGACCGACCGGCTACAAATCACAAGTTCCCACGGCCGTTGCCTTGGGTTCGATTAATTTGCTAGAGTAGCTCACAGAACTCAGGAAACCTGTTTACTCTCTAGGTAGTTATACAGTTGACCCTTGAACAACACAGATTTAAACTGTGGGTCCACTTACGAGGACACGTGAATTTTCTTCAATAAATACTGTCAATGTATGCCCTATTCCTTATAGTTTTCTTAATAACCTTTTCTCTGGCTTACTTTATTGTAAGACTACAGTATATTATACATATAACTTACAAAATATGTGTTAATTGACTCTGTTATTGGTAAGGTTTTCCAGTCAAGGGTAGGCTATTGGTAGTTTGGGGGGAGTCAAAAGTTATACGGGAATTTTCAACTGTGCAGGGTGGGGGTCGGTGCCCCTAACCCCTGCATTGTTCAGGCATCACCTGTAAAAGGCTCTAACGCAGCAAGAGCCAGATGCCCAGGGCAAGGTGTGGGGAAAGGGCACGGAGCAGTTTCCATGACCTCTCCCCAATTCTCCACATGTCCCTCAACATGGAAGCTCTCCAGACCCTCTCCTTTTGGGTTTTTATGGAGACTTGATTACGTAGGCATGGTTGATTAAATCATTGGCCAATTGGTGATTGAACTCAAATTTCCAGCCTTCTCCACTCAGGAGGTCAAGGGTGGGGCTGATAGTTCCAACCCTCTAAATCACATGGTTGGCGCCACTGGCCCCCACTCCCTATCCTTAAGGAGTGGTACACTACATGCCTCGTTATCATAACAAAGACACCTTTATTGCTCCCATTGCTTAAGAAATTCCAAGAGTTTTAAAAGTTCTGTGCCAGAAACAGGGACAAAGACCAAATATGTAGTTGTTATAAATCACAGTGTCACACCTCTCCTTTCTTCAATTCATCTTCTAACAAGCTCTTTTGATGTTTGCCCAAAGGTTATGACTGCCCAGCCACCGAAGGGATATTTGACTATGCAGCCGCTGTGGGAGGGGCTACAATCACAGCTGCCCAATGCCTGATTGATGGAATGTGCAAAGTAGCAATTAACTGGTCCGGAGGGTGGCATCATGCAAAGAAGTAAGAAAATGACTTTTCTGCTTTCTGCCTCTTTCCTTGAGTTGGTTTCTCAGTTATGTTAAAGGCTTGTGTTTATTGCATTGGCATTTATTGAGAGACTTGTTTATGTAGTAGCACTTTACTAGACATTCTGAAGAGATGCAAGTGACATAAAAGATGACGTAATATAGCAGAAAGCACACTATTGAAAGTCAGGACCCTGGGCTCTATGCCTAATTTTTCTGCAAACTTTGCCAACTGACTAGGACAGATTAACCTCTGTAGGCCTCAATTTATTCATCAAGAAAATGGACAGGGCAAAGGATATAACTAGACAATATCAAAATTCCTTTGTAGCTTTCTGGCAATTCCCCTGTCTGCAAAGGATTTATACTTTAGAAACATTAACAAAACTAGAATAATTCAGGAGCAAAATCAGTTTGGGTACCGACTAAATATGTGTATGAGCTGAAGAGATTTAGCAGTAGGGAGAAATTAATCATGGGAGCCTTAGCAGAGGTGCATTTTCAAACAGGTGGACGGGTGATGAGAATAGATTTCAAACAAAAGACTGAAGAACCAAGAAGGAGGCTTGTGCTGCCATCTCTAAGGACAGTAGTAGCCGAGAGTTAGGTGTCACCATAAGGAAACAGCTGTTCTTAGGTGGTGCTTGGAGCTAGAGGAAAAGTCCTTCTGGAGTGTTCTGTTAACATTTCAAACAGCTATAGCCTGTCTGACAGGGAGTGCAGGGCCTCATTCAGCCTGTGGCTTCTTGCTTGAGAGGTCTGTAGTACTTAGTACATGTTGGAGAAGATTTTTGAAACTCTGAATTAATAAGCATGCTGTAATTACCAATGCCTCATCACACACCAGTTGTTCTTACTATCAGACATGACCCCAGTGCTCTTGAGTCTGGAGAAAACAGCACTTTATTTTTCAGAATAAACCTTGGGCACAATTTCAACATAAGCAGGTTAAGGTGAAAGCATGGAATTCTTTTCATCAAATCGACAGTTTAAAATCTACTGAGGCGATGGAGCAAAGAGAACCAGTGTTTAGTAACAAGTTTCAGATGGCCATAAAAACTAAGAGAAACAACCTGCCTTTTGTTAGCTTTTGCTCTGTTTTTTAAAATTCAAAATAAAAATAGCAATCTCTAGGAGAAAAAAATGACCTCTCCTTCCAGCTACACACGAAAGAGAAAAGACCAAGTTTCTCTAAACTGGGGGCTTCTATGCCCTCTTGTGCTTAGCGAGTGGACAAAGAGTCATGTGGTCTCATGGGAAATTCCTGGTCCTGGAAGTCAGATCTAGTCTGCACCTGGCCCACCTTAAGGCCTGCTGGGGCCTGGGTCAGTGTCTTATCACGGTTTGGCTGCCGAAGGAAGTGCAGTCCATCTTAAGCCAGTCACGGCTGCTTCTGGGCTGCATGTACATCTGGGCGTACCCAAACACCATTATTGTAACTATTTCAGACACCTTTCAGCTGATCCTACCTGGAAACAGACACACCTATGGTAAATATAAATTACAGAGTCTCTAAGGACTGCCCCCCCACCCCGCGTCGGGGAGTTCTTGGCATCCGCAGGTGGACTACAGGCATTTAGCCCACAAACTTACATCTAGCCAGCATGTATCTATTATAATCACAGTATTTCCCCATGCCCAAATACATGTACAGATTCATACATGCCATTTATTCATTTACCATGCGTTGACTGAGAACCTATTATATGGCAAGTATATGTTTATCATCATCAGTAAGCAGAGCTATAGAAATTGAAACATGTATATTTTTTCTCCTAACAGTTTTCAAAAAAAAAAAACAACTTCAAAATATCCAGGTGCTGGCAAGATTACAGTGAAATTGGCACACTCTTTTTGAAAACCTTGGAAATAAGCGTTAAAAGAGTTGGGAAAATGTTTAGACTTGTTGACCAAGTAATATTCTTAGCAATATATTCTGAAGAAATAAACCAATCCTGTCCTCAAAAAGTCGTATCATAGGAGTATGACAGCAAATAATTACATTTGAGAGCTAAAGAAGAGTGATATTCAAAAAAAAATTGTGCAAAAGAAGATTAATGAGAGACTAATGCTATTAGATATTAAGCATACAAAACTAGAATAATGAAAACACGTGTACCACGCGTATAAGATGTGACAGATGATATTATAGTAAACTCCCCAAAGAGACTGTTATATCTTTTATAAAGAATGCGTCGCAAGTGAATGGGAGTGGAAAGTATTGTTCAGTAAATGATGTTGTGACAGCTTGTGGCATTTATACTCTCATCTCCTATAATAAACTAAAATAAATGGCAGCTGGATTGAAGAGTTAAATATAAAAAGCAAATGTTAAAAAACTAGAATGAATATTTATCAAGCTTCTAAAGGGGAATAGTTTTCTAAGCTTTAGGAAGTAATAGAAACAACTCACAAAGGAAAAAATGAACAAATTGGACCATACAGAAATTTAAAACCCAAATAATTTAAAAGTTTTTTTGGCCAGTTTAAAAATAAAATCTAGGGGCCGGCCGAGTGGCGCGTTGGTTAAGAGCTGGCTTGGGTCGCCAGCTCTGAGCAGCAGGGCCCCAGTTCGGATCCCGCATGAAGGCCAGTGACACTGCCCTCTGCAGCTAAGATGGTGAACAACAGCTCGACCTGGAGCTGGGCTGCCATGAGTCGCCGGCGACGGCGTAGGCTGCAGTGGGGCTGCAGTGGGCTGCTGCGAGCTATTGTGAGTGGCCGGCAGCCAATGTGAGCTGCCAAGAGCTGCCGTGAGCGGCCGTCCAATGAACGGCGACTGATCTGCCTCACCCAGGAAAAGCACAATTATAATACCAACATGGGCCACTGAAACAACATCCTCCACAACTAGACTGAAGAACAAAAGGACAGCAACTTGTCTGTTCCCCTCCCCCAATCCCCCAATTTAAAAAAAAATCTAAACACATACTGAAAAGGCACATTTGGCATAAACGTGACGAAGTGTGATAGGTTTGTATTTTCTAAGGTACTCATACAGTATGATGTATAAGAAGAAATACAGGCCAAGAATGTGACTAGACAACTTCTAGAGGAGTTTTAAACACAACTGGGAAAATGGGACAGACAGTGTTCATCAAAGAAATGCAAAGTAAAACAACTAGGAGCCTCCTTTTAGGCCCGTATTTACCAGAATTGAAAAAAATGATAATTAGTTTGCTAGTACTAGTGTGGTTTGGTTCAACTCCTTAAAAAAGCAATTTGGACGCCAGCATGTGGTAATAGCTTTTATCTAGTAACCCTACTCCTGCGAATGTTTCCTGAGAGTTCAAAATATGGGGAAAAACTTTGTATGAAAGTGTTTAATCAGCATTATTTATTAAAAAAAAGAAATAGCATGAATGAATGTCTAGCAATAAGGAAATGGTGAATCTACTCCATGGAATATTATGTTGTTATTTTAACTGATGACGATAATGATGATGAAGACTACAGGGCATTTCAGAAAAATGGTGGTTATGTTAGGGGGGCAGAATTATTGATCATTTTTTAATATGCGTCTCTCTAGTTCTCAAAATTTCTGTAATGACATTTTATTACTTTTGCAGCTACTGTTTTACCAAAATAAAAAGAGGCAAAAAATAGTTACAGCAAATATAAGAAAGGGTTAAAATCTTTATTCTTTGTGATTTAGTGATTTTTTTTTAAAGATTTTATTGGGGAATCGGGGAAGGGGAACAGACAAATTGCTGTCCTTTTGTTCTTCAGTCTAGTTGTGGAGGATGTCGCTTCACTGACCCATGTTGGTATTATCATTACGTTCTTCCCGGGTGAGGCAGTCGCTCTCCAGCCATTGGATGGCAGCGGCTCATGGCCGCTAATGGCGGCTCACAAAGGCTCACGCCTGCTGCTGGCCAGCCCCACTGCAGCCTATGCCGTGGCCGGCGACTCACGGCAGCCCAGCTCCAGGTTGAGCTGTTGTTCACCATCTTAGCTGTAGAGGGCCCAGCGTCACTGTCCCTCATGTGGGATCCGAACCGGGGCCCTGCTGCTCAGAGCTCACGCTCCCAAGCCAACTCTTAACCAACGCAGCACTCGGCCGGCCCTAGTGATGTTTTTAAAAACACTAATATTCAGGTAAATGGAGAGAAGACATGAACAGACAGTTCACAAAAGATAAAATAAATAGTAAACAAACATGGAAAACTACTTAGCATCAATAAATTAGAGGAAGTGAAACTGAAATACCATGTATACCAAATTTGAGCTGAAGGAAGAAAGATCTTTAAGTTAAAATTTCTATTATTCTTGGTAATGTATTCTAAAGAAATAAACCCATCCCAAATATGGGAAAACTGAGTATATAAAGATGGTCATTTCTCCCTTCCTTATAATAGCCAAAAAATGGGAAGTTGGGAGGGAGAGCTAAATGTTCAACATCAGTGGAATGGTTAGGCAGTGTACTGCAACATAGCTAGTTGTTGGGATATTATTATAACTATTAGTAGTGGTGGTTAGAACGACTGCATGACAAGAAAAAATGCTCATCATATAATGTTGGGTTTGTTTTAAAAGGTCAGGTACCTACAACCTCATACATTCACTTTGATTAGCCAGGTAAAAATATGTGCGCATGAAAAAATCTTAGAAGGAAATGCGGGTGACCCGTGAATAAGGTAGCTGGTAGGGGCACGGACTTCATGTGCAACCCTAAATCCTGCACGACAGTCTGCCCTCCGCATGTGCAGACTCCCAACCGCAGTTAACCCTTGAACAACACGGGTGTGACCTGCACTGGTCAATTGAAAAGAATCCACGTGTAAGTGAACCTGTGCAGGTCACACCCGTATTGTTCAATGTCAACTGTACAACAAAATGACACCAGTGACTGTAAGGAGGATGATATTGTGATATATACACATACATATACGTGCATCTTTTTTCTGTTACCCCTGCTTTTCTTCTATTTTCTCTAGTGTGGTTATATTACTTTTATCAATTAAACTTTCTTATAATAAAACTGCTTGGAACAAA